GTCTTGTGGCGCTAATTCCAAACCCGGAAAACACAGAGGGGACCTCGGCTACTGTCACCACTTACCAGCCTTCGACCGGGAGCTAAGGGGAAGAGAGACCAGGACCGGGGTTCGCTGTCCGGGTTATTCTGACTCACCCATCCGATGGCGCTCAGGCCCAGTCTGCCCAGGCCAGAGCCACTTCTGCGGCTGTCGGGTCGGCCAGCCTCCTTGGGTAGCAGAGGACCCCGGGGAGATGCCTGGGCCAGAGAAAGCCAAGTGGAGGCATCAAGCTGGGCTGCTCAGAAAGGCTCGGAAGAGGCAGGGGACCAGGTGCCCCACACCCGTGCCCTCCTCCCCACCAGCCCCCTCCCAACCTGTCCACATCTACCCCCAGTTCTCCCGGAAGGCAGCCACAGCTGCCAGTGGTGCTGTCCCACCCTGAGTCCCTGTCTTCTCTGAGGGAGGGGTGCCTCCGCCTGTGTGTCATTCAGTCCCGGGTACTGCCTGGCCAGAGGGCCCAGCCCTAGAGGCTGTTTTAGCTCTTCCAGCACCCTGAGGCTTCACCCTTGCTGCTGACCCCAAGCTGTGTCCTATCCACAGTCAGGACTGCCAGACTGGCCTGATCGTTTACCACTGGGGAAACTGAGGCAAGGAAGAACTTGGCCAGAGCCCCGTGGAGAGGCAAATTCAAATCTAGTGACGTTTGGTTTATTTTTCCTACCGAAAGTCCTCCACTCTTGGCCCCCAGCTGAACGAGCCCCCGCTCAGAAAAAGCAGGCTTTGGTGTTTTTCAGAGGAGTGGCCCAGAGGGTCCTGAGATCCTGGAGAGGAACAGGACGGGCAGGCTCTAGGCAACCGCCGGCCACTGATGGCCTTTACCTGGTGCCTGCTCCCTCGCACCAGCCCAATTTCAGGGCTGTGGGGCAACGGCCAGGCGGGTTCTGCCCTCCAGCCAAGTTTTCCTTTGCCAGAAAGCCCTACTCCGATCCTGACAGGTGGATTTTTAAATACCTGTTGGCTCCCGTTCTTGGCGCCGAGCCCAGCTGGAGACGAAAGGAGCAAACGTCAAGGTTTCTTCTGCTCCTGCACCCGCCGCCAGCACCTTTCCTGCTCCCCATCCTGGTTCTGGGTGCAAGGAGGGCGGAGCAGCCTTACAACCCCAGCCGCCACCACAGCCTCCGCCTCTGCCACTTCTGCGCCCCTCCCTGAGATTGGCTCTTGTCTTCTCTTTCCAGCCCGGGCAAGTGGCTGCCTCTTGCTAGGTCTGCTCTTGGTAGCACAGTTAGACTTAGAGACCCGGCCAAGGCAGACAGACAGGGCTCAGAAGCTCAGTCCTGCCATGGAGGAAGGGCAGCGGAGAGAGAAGGTATGCGACGGGGCTTCTGCCACCTGCCCACCCGCCACGCGAACAGCCTGGGGCTCTCCTGTCTCTCCTCTGCCTGCCTCCAGGGTTTCCCAGACTCTCTGTCTCTGCCACCTGCCCGTCTCCATGCCAGGACACTCGGCTCTCTTGCCACAGCACTGCCCACGCTGCCCTTGCCCCCTCCACGGTGCAGGGAAAGCCGGAGGCCTCGCCCTTAGGAGCTAGCTTTGTCTCATCTTCTTGATTTTCTGTTTTCCTCCTTTGTCAACCTGGACAGGGTGGGAGAAGGGGGGGCCTCTGAAAGGACTGTCACCTCTCTGCTGACTAGCTTGTCCTCCTGCGGTGAGCAGGGTGGGGCCTGTACATCAGGACAGGTGGGAGGTCCCCCTCACCTCTGCCGCCCTCGCAAGTGCCCGGGTGCCATTCATCCTCGACTGGCTTATCCTGAGCCCTGCCAAGATCAATGGCCACACCCTACCCCTACCTGCATCTCCAGGCCTCTAAGGGACGCCTACAGCCTGGGAGCTGAGAGGCCGTCTCTGCCTCAGGGGCTAGGCTTATAAGTGCCCAGGCCTGCAGCCTGGAGGTGGCCAGGGCTCCCAGAGCCGGGAGAGTGAGCAGGATGCTCTGCTGCCTACAGGTGAAGCCCCTGGGCTTCCTCAAGCCATCCTCCTTGACGAAGGTTTCCGGCCGCTTCAAGGCACACCAAGATGCACTGCCTCGGCTGCCCGTGCCCCCACTCCGGCAGTCCCTGGACCACTACCTCAGGGCACTGCGGCCCATAGTGAGCGAGGAGGAGTGGGCCCACACCAAGCAGCTGGTGGACGAGTTTCGGACTGCGGGGGGCGTAGGGGACCGCCTGCAGAAGGGGCTGGAGCGCAGGGCCAGGAAGTCGGAGAACTGGGTGAGTAAGAGGGCCGGGGCACCTGGGCCAGCTCTAGCAGCTCCCGGTCCTTGTGACGTCCCTCGCCATGGCCTCTTGCCACCTGCACGTGCAGAAGCTTCTAGTACTGGCTGCTTTAGCGTGTTCATTCGTTTTGTTCTGTTGAGTTTCCAGAGCCCGGACTCTGCCTTGCACGCAGAGGGTGTTGGGACAGTAAGGACACGGTCGCTGGCTCATGAAGACAGCGTTTGAGCAGGGGCAGGGGATGACAGGACACAAGGCAGTGGAGCGGTCCATGCAGGCCGCTAAGGGCGATGAGAAAGAGTGAGGGCCAGGCAGCTGTGTCTTTGCATCAGGAAGTCAGGGAAGGTGGCAGGAGTGAAGACCTGAGACCTGAGGGTCTGCGACAGACAGCAGGGGACAAGCATGGGCAAAGGTGGCAACAGCCCGCGTGCTGCAGGGCAGAAGCTGGGATGGAGCGTGAGGGCCGAGGCAGCCAAGGAGGAGGGCCTTGGGCTGGAGCTCAGCGGACGGCACAGAGCAGGGTACTTGTGCTGTCCAAGGATCGGTCCCCCTGGTTCTGGTTTGGTCTGTAGTAAAGCTGTGTTCAGTTTGGAAAACATGTCTACACTGGTGCTTTGCGTGCTTTTCTTTATGCTTCCTGTACCTCAGCACAAAGAGAAAACGACGGGAGGGAAGTGGGGGTGGGGGCGGGGGCCAGAAGTGATGGCAGGTGGGTGTTACGGCCCAAGGAAGGTGCTGGCAGCCTGGGCCTGGCTCTGGCTGGGAGAGAGTAGGTCCTCAAGTCCGGGTTATTTCAGAGGTAGTGCAGTGGTACTCGCTAATGAGGTGGGAGGGTGCAGGCCTCATTTAAAGCACCTTGAGGGGGGGTTGCTGAGATGGGGATGACCGAGGGACAGAGCAGGTGGTGCAGCAGGTGGGCAGGTGGGACTCTGACCCTGGGGCTCGGTGGAGGGTGGGAGGCTGCATGTAGGAGGTGGGGGTCAGTACCTGGGACTCCCAGATTAGATTGTTGGCCCTGAAAGGGCCTTAGAGGCTGAGGTCTGGTAGTTTTCCAACTTTGTTTAGCTTGGAAGCGTCTGGCTAGAGGGATGGGGCACCCCTCTCTGCTTATGGAGCCCCTGAAGGGGGTCTGCCACCACTCAGCAAGTTGCAATGCCCATACCTGCAGGGTCTTTCCTTGCCTCTCAGACTCTGGCCAGAAGCTCTGAGATTTCTCATTGGGTCCCTGGCTGTGTCCCCAAGGGGCAGGAGCTCCTGTCTGCCCCTCACTGATCTTTACATGAGAATACTCAAGCCCAGAGAGGTTGACCAAAACCCAGAGACACACAGCAGCTCTCCAGGAGGCCCAGCGGTGTGCAGGAAGGTCTGGCTAACTCGGTCCCAGTCCTGGGGACCACAGGTCATCAGCTAGCAGCCACCCACTGTGCAACCTGACGCCAGTTTGCTCCCCTTGCCTCTCGCCAAGGGCCTCAGGCTGGTGGCCCGGTGCCACAAGGAAGTCTGTGCTCAAGAGGCACATCCTGCTGCCATTGCGATGGGGCAAGGAAGTGCAGTGGAGGGCCCAGGTTCCCAGGGGTTGAGGGACACACTGTCCTGGGCGGGTGCTGTAGGCAGCACAGACACTCCAGGGTGACCACCACCTGGGAGTGCACAGCCCGGCCAGGAGACCGTGCCACTCCCTGGCTGTTGCGCAGGGCAGAGGGTGGACAGTCGGGCGGAGACAGTGTGTTATCATATCTTGTCACTGCCTGGCAGCGAGCACCCCTCGAGATTGTCCTGACCTGGAGATCACACCACGTGGCCACTCCCTGCTCTGCCACCAACAAAACTGAGGCCCCAGAGGAGGACCAGGGCCCTCTGGCAGCTTGGCCAGCTGGCCTCTTGCCTCCTGGAGGAGCCCCGGCTGTCAAAGACTCATTCCGTGGGCTTTCTTTTTATGTAACTGCCCCCTTCCTTCTCTCTACCCGTCCAGGCGTGCCTTCTGGGTTATAAACCGCTCATAGCCACTGACAGGGCACTCGGAAAGGAAGGGAAGCCTTCCATTCTTCTGCCCCTGCCCCTCGTGCACCGCAGGTGTCCTTCCAGCCTTTTTCTCAGCGCCCTTTTCTTAGCATCATGTGGTTTCTCGGGCTGTGGGGAAGAGGGTGGGACGTGGGGCTGTACTCCCTGGGGTGGGCAGAGGGCCTTGGGCAGGAAGGGGCACCAGGTGCCCTGTCCACCTCTGAGGCTCAGGTCCTTCCCCCAGCTGTCCGACTGGTGGCTCAAGACAGCCTACCTCCAGTACCGCCAGCCCGTGGTCATCTACTCCAGCCCGGGCCTGATGCTGCCCAAGCAGGACTTCGTGGATCTGCAGGGTCAGCTCCGGTGAGTGGCAGGCGTCGGGGGCAGGAGGTAGCCAGGGCAGGGCTTCACGTCTGCTTCTCCTGGGAGAGTGCAGGGGCCCAGCCCTGTCCACTACCTTTCATCACTGCAGTCTTAAAAATAGAGCCCTCATCCCCAGGTGGGAAACCGGTCAGGGTAGGAGGCCGGGTCTCCAGCTCCAGAGCGCCCCAGCCGCTGACTGCCAGACAGGAGGAGCCCTCCCTCCTGAAACCCCGAAACCCGAGCTTCCCCTACCTCTACCTCGTCTGGCACCTTACCCTCCTACTCTCCACTGGCAGCAGGCGTGACCTTTGTACACACTCCCCTTTTCCACATTCGGCCATGTCACCTGGCCCCTGTTTCAGTCCTACCAAAGATAAAAATACCAGTGACAGGGATCTCCTGCCCAAGGTCCGGCTGCTTGCCGCTGCCACCTGCTTCTCTTAAAGGGACCAGGGCACCCTGGAAAGGGTTGGAGATCAAGCCCAGGCACACCAGCCTGTGGTCCCCATGCTGGGGGCTCAGGGCAGCCCCAGGCATTTGGGGTGGTTGGTGTAGGCCAGAGAGCCCCTCTCTATGACCCAAGGAGGAAGGCCAGGTTGAGAGAGGTGGCCTTGAGGACACAGAGAATCAGAAGGAAAAGGGACCTAGCAGAGAGATCAACTCAAGCCTCCATCGTCTCTTTACTCGCCCCCACCCGAGAGCCCAGGTTTCTCTACACTGAGGCTTCTGAGCAGGTGACAGCTCGCTCCAACTCCGGGCCATGGTTCAGGGCCTCAGGCCCTTTGTGGGAGGGACAGCCCACTGACCCTACTCTAGCCACAGTCATGCTGCCTGGGTTGGCACTGTGGTCCTGCCAGGCCCTTGGCCTCCACATCCACCAGAGCCCTGTCAGCCTTCCCCTGCAGATGAAGAGGAAAGAGACTCTGGAGGGTGAGCTGGACTCACGTGGTCCCTCCTAAAGCGCCACAAGCTGCTGCTGCCCTCCAGCAGGCTTCCCTTGCCCAGTTCTCCCTCGGGGGCTCTCACAGCTCTGTCCTCTAATTGGCTCTTCCAGATTCGCTGCCAAACTCATCGAGGGCGTGCTGGACTTCAAGGCCATGATTGACAAGTGAGCAGTCCCACCCCTGCCCTGCTTGCCTCATTACCACAGCCACCCCTGACCCAGAGAGGCCAGAGCCAGCGCTCTCCCTTCCTGTTGAGAACAAGGCCTCCTGACGGCCTTGTTCCCTCCCTCTGAACGAGACCCTGGCTGACTAGCTGCCTCATCTCCCCGGGGCAAACTCAGAAGCCACCTGACCCCAGCCCAGCCCTGCTGGTCCCTGCTGAGGCAGGGGAGGGACACAGTCCAGCCGTCCTGGCTGTCCCCTAGCAATACTTCAAAGGTCTGTCGGCCCCTTCCCTCTGTCCTTCCCCGAGGCCCTCATGTCCCTCTGCCCGCAGCGAGACCCTGCCCGTGGAGTACCTGGGGGGGAAGCCGCTGTGCATGAACCAGTACTACCAGATCCTGTCCTCCTGCCGCGTGCCAGGCCCGAAGCAGGACTCAGTCATCAGCGCCAGCAAGGCCAAGAAGCCGCCCATGCACATCACCGTGGTGCACAACTACCAGGTGAGCAGGCCACCCACGCCACAGACCCCCGGGCTGCTGCAAGGAAGGAGGACGCAGAGCTGAGAGGCAGCTTCCCCTGCCCAGCTCCCACACGCTGCTCTTGTGCCCCAGAGACAGGCATGCCTTGGTGTCTCCATTGGGTGCCCAGGTTGCCCCAGGCTTCAGGGAGGCCAGGAGGGCTGCCTGGGACCTCCTCCCTCCCCCCACCCTCGGCCTGACTCGGGAGTACTGGCCATGGCCTGGGAGTTACCAACGCCAAGAGGAGGATGGTGAGGGGCAACCCCCCTCCCCTGGGGATCCCACCAGCGCTCTTCTGGACCTGCCTATACCCTGACAGTTTTTCGAGTTGGACGTGTACCACAGCGATGGGACCCCCCTGACATCTGACCAGATCTTCGTGCAGCTGGAGAAGATCTGGAACTCCTCCCTGCAAGCCAACAAAGAGCCCGTGGGCATCCTCACCTCCAACCACCGCAACTCCTGGGCCAAGGCCTACAACACCCTCATCAAAGGTGTGGGCATGGGGTTCTCACACCGGGCAGCTCCTGCACATGGCCAGCCCAACAGCAGGCACGCCCAGTTTCCACTGGAGCCCCTCGGCTGGAGCAGGTGTTCTTAGCCCATTTTATTTATTTACTTATTTATTTTACCTTAATTTGCCAGAGAGTACACGTGCTTGCCAGAGAGAAGCAGACAGAGAGGGAGATCATGTACTTGCCAGAGAGAAGCAGACAGAGAGGGAGAAAGCACCCCCAGTGGGATGTAATCATGCTGCCCTCCCTTCCTGCTGGGACTTTGGCCATGCCTCATGTGTTTCTCAAGCTGCCAGGGCCAAGATTCTAACTATACAACTGGCCTTGCAGGATCCGGCTCCTCGGCCACCAAGCCACAGGGCCTGTATATATTTTTTAATTTCTCTCTTTCATGGGAGTGAGACAGAGACAGAGACAGACAGGCGTCCCCAACAAGGCCGCACACCGTGATCCTGCTGCCAGCCTTCCCAGACAGCCAGGATCTCGTGCACATGTGTGCCCGGCATGGACAGGCTGACCGCGGAACTAAACCCTTGTCTCCCACGTGGCCCCAGCCCTGCAGAGCACCGTGCTACTGTGACTGCACCAGCTTCTTTTGCCTTTTTTTTCCCCTGAGAGAGATTTCTGCTGTAGGGTATGCGTGCTTGCTGGAGAGACAGAGAGACAGAAAGCGAGAAATCCTTCCCGGGGGAATGGCCATACTGCAATCCCTTCTCCAGTCTCCTCTTGGGATCTTGAGCACGTGCACACACACAAACCTGGCGTGAGTTTCAAGCCACAGGGTCCAGGATTCAGACCGCCATCAACTGCATGGGAGTCCAGCGACATAATTATTATGCCATCTGCTGGTCCCTTTTTTTGTTTTTTGTCATAGGGCATGTGTGCTCACTAGAGAGAGAGAGACAGTGAGGTGAGAGGAAAAGTAAAAGATCACCCCAAGGGGGGTGGCCACGCCCAGTCCCTTCTCCTTCATTCTCCATCTGGGACCTTGAGCTCACATGCATAGGCACCCAGCATGATTTTCAAACCACCGGGTCAACTTGAACCACGGTTGGCCATGTGAGAACTCGGCACCTTAACCGCCATGTCACCTGCTAGTGCCTGGGCGGACATTGTTAGATGAGGAACCAGAGCTCAGTTTGGTTAGGTTAGTTTCTCCCTGTTTAGTAGCAAGTCCTCCATCTGCGGAGCCCCTCTCTCCACCCCAGCTCCTCCCAGACCCCCAAGCCCCTAGCAGTCAGGGGCACCATGCCAGGAGTCTGACCATCTGCGTTGGGTGCCTGATTGCCTCACCAGCTCCCCATGCAGCTCTGGGCTTCCAGGTCCCTGTATCTAAAGTGGGCCAGGTGCTGGGCTTGCTCCCAGGCCTCTGTCGAGTGTGAAGCCCCAAACTTGCTCAGCACACAGTGAACACGCACCGAGGCCCGAGCCGGGAGCTCCCATCCCTGGGGGCACAGACAGGCTGTGGGGGTAGGGCAGGCAGCATCGCCCCATCTCACACCGTGTCCCCTGCAGACAAGGTGAACCGGGAGTCTGTGCGCTCCATCCAGAACAGCATCTTCACCGTGTGCCTGGACGCGCCGGTGCCTCGGGTCTCTGAAGACGTGTACCGCAACCACGTGGCCGGCCAGATCCTACATGGAGGTGGCAGCAAGATCAACAGTGGCAACCGCTGGTTTGACAAGACACTTCAGGTGAGGGGCCGGAGGTCAGGGCTGCGAGGGCCACCCTGGGCACACACCCACACGTGGTCCTGGGCAGCCTCGGGACTTCCTGCCCCTCTCTGGGCCTGGCGTCCCTGGCCTCCTAGCTCGTAAAGAGGGTGAGAAGCCCACAGGCTGAACGCGGCTGTAATTACTAGGTGGCCAGCCTGCCAGCACCAGGCCTGTGTGCTGGCCCAGAAACTGCGGTCACTCCCAGCACATCGGAGCTAGCCTGGGACCCGCAGTCAGGCGGTCTTGGGCACAGCATCCCTCACTGCACCTGTAACTGGGTGGTGTGGGACTCCAGGAGGCAGCTCTGTGGACTCGGGGCCTGCTGAGCACAGGAGGTATTTAGGCTGGCCTGGGCGGGTCACCAGGGTACTCAATGGGTGTTAGTTGTTGCTCGTCACAAGTCAGCAAAGCCCTTGAGGTGACTTCAGAGAGGCCCTTCCCATGAGCCCCTCCCAGACTGGGTAGTGCGGAGCTGCCCCGGCCCTGGGATAGCGGGTTCTCCACGCCCCTCCGCAGTTCATCGTGGCAGAGGACGGCTCCTGTGGGCTTGTTTACGAGCACGCGGCTGCGGAGGGGCCCCCTATCATCACCCTCGTGGACCACGTCATCGAGTTCACGTGAGCATGCGTACACCCCCTGCTCGTCCCCAGCTCTCAGTGGCAGGTGACGTGTAGGTGACAGGCCCTGTGTGTGGGGGAAGAGGACTCACCTTTGCACCTGGGCATCTGTTTCTGCAGAGAAAGCTCTCACATGGCCTGGGCTTCAGAGTCGGTGGGAGCCGGGTTTGAATTCTGGCTCTGCTGGTCATGTCTCTGAGCCATGTGACCTTGGACAAGCACTGTCCCTCTCCAGCCTCTCTGTGTGAACACTTGAAGGCCATCTGAAGGCAGCTCTAGAAAAGCCAGCTCAAGAATCCCCCTGGCTACCCTTCTGGCTTCAGAGACCCTTCTTCCCCAGCCCCGTGTCAGGGACAGGCCAAGACTCTGGAGACAGCAGCTTGAGCCTGAGGTGCCTATTTCCCATACAGGAAGAAGCCCGAGCTCGTGCGGTCTCCCATGGTACCCCTGCCCATGCCCAAGAAGCTGCGCTTCAACATCACCCCCGAGATCAAGAGTGACATCGAGAAGGCCAAGCAGAACCTCAGCATGTAAATACCATCTCCCTGCTGGGCGGGTGGGCCGTACCCCTCTGGCCCAAGAGGCTCCTATGCCAGGTCTTCATTTTTGGGGAGAGGTTTTTGCTATAGGGTGTGTGTGCTCGCCAGAGAGACAGAGAGACCGAAAGCAAGAAATCACTCCCCAGGGGTATGGCCACACCGCAATCCCTTCTCCATTCTCTCGGGATCTTGGGCACGCACGAACATGTGCCCGGCATGAGTTTAAGCCACAGGACTTGAACTGTGGTCGAGTACATGGGAGTTCAATGACAAAGCCATTATGCTAACTGCTGGTCCCTGCCAGGTCTTACTGGCTTGGGTTCCAAGCCTCCTCTCGGGCCCTCTGTGGGGTGGTAGGGCCGCCGGGCCCCTGCTCCTCATTATGCCGCCCACCAGCATGATCCAGGACTTGGACATCACCGTGATGGTATTCCACCACTTTGGAAAGGACTTCCCGAAGTCAGAGAAGCTGAGCCCGGACGCCTTCATCCAGATGGCCCTGCAGCTGGCCTATTACAGGTGCGCCCGGCCCGCTAGTGCGCCTGCGAAGGCGGCGCGAGTCCCAGGACAGGAGGGCGGTAGCCTTGGAGGGCTCCGCTCAGCCCCTTCTTCCCACCCAGGATCTACGGGCAGGCGTGTGCCACCTACGAGAGTGCCTCGCTGCGCATGTTCCACCTGGGCCGCACTGACACCATCCGCTCGGCCTCCGTGGACTCACTCGCCTTCGTCAAGGCCATGGATGACTCCAATGCGACGGTGAGGTCTGGGGCAAGGGAGGGCGAGCCGGGTGAGCGAGCCGGAGCCATCGCCCTCCATTCGTTCTCCCAGAGCACCTCCGCCCCCCGCTGAGCTCTGAGAATCTAACATGAATTTAGATCTCTGCTTCCTGGCAGCCAAAGAGAAAAGGGAACCATTCATTTGTTCATTTATTCACTTATCAGCAATGTGCCTCTGCCTTATGTTAGACCCTGGTTGAGGACGGAAGAAATGGTAGTTCCAATACTTTTTTAAGGAGCTCAGAATCTAATGCTGGGTTGTGGGGTGGGCTCCTGAACTGGGCCAGGATCAGGAAAGGACAGTGCTTCAGTTCCCTCTGACTTGCACCTGTAGGAACACCAGAAGGTGGAGCTGCTGCGGAAGGCTGTGCAGGCCCACCGAGCCTATGCGGACCGGGTGAGTAGCCCCCCCACCCCGTCCCTTCTTGTCCGTCCACCTGCCTGTCCTTCCCTGCACAAAGGGCTGCATCCCCTCACTACCATGCCTCCCTGAGCCTTGGAGTGCCTGGGGCCAGGCTGAATACCCGTTATAAAGTCGAGGCCGCCTTGGTCCTAGGTCCCAGGTGGGCCCTGTCCCTGTGTCACTTTCCCCGAGGTTGAGGGTGCGTGTGGTGTGCAGACAGCAGGGCTCCCGCCCCCTGGCGGCCCGTTGCAGTGGGACAGTGGTCACCTGCATGCCCATCGTGATTCCGACACTTGGCGCCTGTGCGCCAGGCTCCGACCACTCACCTCCGACATCCACGTGGATGTCACTGTTGTCCTCCATCATACACGAGGACACCACGGCTTCAGAACTAAGTCACCTGCTGAGGTCCCCCAGCAAGCCCAGCTGCCCAGCTCTAGGGCCCGAGCTCTTCTATTCTGCACTCCCCTGCTTTCCAGGGCAGATCTTCGCCCCTTCCTGGGAGTCACCAGTCTGGACACTCCTGGCTCAGGTTCTGAGGGCCCAACACTGGAAGGGGCAGTGCTGCCCGAGGCTCCTGAGGAAGGCGGGGATGCCCTGCGGGCCAGGCCCGGCTCCTGACAGCTCCCTGCCCCTGCAGGCCATCCATGGGGAAGCCTTCGACCGGCACCTGCTGGGCCTGAAGCTGCAGGCCATTGAGGACCTGGTGAGCATGCCCGACATCTTCATGGACACCTCCTACGCCATCGCCATGCACTTCAACCTCTCCACCAGCCAGGTGGGCCGCACCCGGCCGTGCCAGGGTGGGGGTGGGCCGCACAGGCCACTGGGGGGGCAGGGAGCACCACCCAGGCAGGCCAAGAGGCAGCCACGCCCATATCATGGGAGAATCAGCCACACTCCTTCACTGTTCAGGTAGAAACCAATTCTGACCCGTGTCAGCCTGGGCTAGGAAACGGCAACAACAGGTCACTGTCCCTACCCCTGGGGAGCAGTCTCAAGGGAAGGTAGGCAAGGAGGCAGGAAGTGCTGGGGGTCAGGGGAGTACTGAGGACGGAGTTAGAGCACCCTCCCCGAATGTCGAGGAAGGCTCCACAGAGGAGGTGACAACAGGACTGCACCCCGCAGGACAAGCGGGAGTAGGTCTGCCCTGGGGAGGAAAGGGCATCTCGGGCGGAGCCCAGGGGGAGTGGAGACACCACAGAGCTGCAGGAGAGCAGTGAGCTGGGGTGAGAGCTTCGGCTGCCCTCCCCAGGTCCCCGCCAAGACAGACTGCGTCATGTTCTTCGGGCCCGTGGTCCCCGACGGCTACGGCGTCTGCTACAACCCCATGGAGACCCACATCAACTTCTCGGTGTCGGCCTACAACAGCTGCGCTGAGACCAACGCTGCCCGCCTGGCACACTACCTGGAGCGGGCACTCCTGGACATGCGTGCCCTGCTGCAGAGCCACCCCCGGGCCAAGCTCTGAGCCCGGCCGGCTGCCAGTGCCACAGCCAAGCCCGCATGGGGGCAGGCCACCATCAGGGTTCACCTCTTCTGCTCCCTGTTCCCTGGGGCCCCCAGCTCTGGCCACGCCAGGGCAGCACCCTCCAAGGGGCCTGTGGGCTCAAGCCAAGTGCCTTCCCTGGGTCCCCCACAGCTGCCTGCCCAGGCTCGGGGCTGAGAGGACAGACGCGCAGGCCTCAGCATCCCATCCCCCGAGGCCGCCTCTGGGAGGAGCCACCTGCCCAGAGCACCAGATCAGCTCTGGCCAACCTCCCAATGTCCACGGCCAGGCCGGAGCTAGGCTCTGACCCCCAGGACCTGAGAGACGGTGGACTATCTGGAGCCAGCAGACCCTGAGCCTGCCAGGGCGAGGGCTGGCTGCAAGTTCTGGTGCAGGAGTAGCCAGGTGCTGAAGCACGTGGCAGGGACAGCAGCCATCCAGTGGTGCTGCCAGCTCTTGTGGGTAACGTGGCTCAGAAGCCCCAGCCTTCTTGCTTCCACTCAGCTCGACTCCCGCCCCGTGTTCCTGGCTGTAAGATATTAGCGTGCAAGGTGATTAATAAAGCGGAGCTGTGTGGACAAAGGCGTTGCAGCCCAGGGACCTGTGTGTGGGTGGCTGGTGCCCATGGGCTCCCAGAGAAGCCATGGGCAGGCGTCCTGGGGCGTGGCCAGGGAGCTCTGACCTCGGCACTGAGCCAGGGACAATGGCAGCCTTCCTCAGCAGTGTCCCACCTTGTACCAAGCCCTGGGGCTGGTAGACTGGGCGGTGTGGCTGACACTGAGTTGGGCCTCACCTGCCGCCCCCACTGACCCAGTTCATCCCAGCCCCCGCCCTGCCTGGCAAGCCCCTCCCCCCACAGTGGGACCCTGGGAGCAGTCGGGCCAGCTGTCTCTAGAGGAGCACCTCTGCCTGTGCGGGGTGGGGCGGGGAAGTGGTCAGCCTGGCAGACACATGGGTGGAGCCCGTGGTCATCTCCATTTCTCAGGGGAAACTCAGGTTCTGTGAGGTTAAGGTCACCAAGACAGCAAATGGCACAAAGTCCCAGAACTGAGGGGCCGCAGCCCTGTACAGCACTCACCCAGCTGACGCAGGCCAAGGAGTGGAAGTCGCTCCAGACAGGAGCCCATGAGCCAGTGCAGGGAGGATGGGCTGCAGCCTGGGAGGTGCAGGAAGGAACCAGCTGAACCAGGACGTTGGTCAGGGACTAGGGCTCTCCCCATGTCGTCTATGAGGCTGGGAGAGGGCATCCCATCTGTCCCAAGCCCCACAGGACAAGAGGGGATTCCACCTGCCATGGCACTGCCTTGTCCACAGTGGGGCGGTGGTGCTCCCTCTGGGGGAGATTGGCAAGTCCTTAGATGCTTCCTGGGAACCTCGCGCAGGAAGCAGGGCCTTCCTTGAACAGCAACAGGAAGGATTGGCACCTGGAGGGGGAGGGCAGCAGGATCCAGGTGGAGGGCAGGGCCCCCGCAGACACCCAGGGTCCTGAACTCGCAGAACCAGACAGGTCTGAATACGAGACAGGAGTTTTCACCAAAAAATGATCCCTCAGGAGCGAGGGCGTCCGCCTGCCTCTAAGTTGTTCCAGTCGTCCTGCGGAGGCCGGCTCCAGGCTGCGGAGCCCAGCGCTGTTTAGGAGAGAGCCCCAGTCGCTGTCAGAGGGCATCGCAGGGGGTCCCTGGTGGAACTGGTAGGAAAAAAGGGCAGGTGCAGGGTAAAAGGCAGTGCTCCGTGGGGCTGAGCCCCAGGGGAGGCGGTGGGTACCAGGCACACACGTGCCTCTGATTGGGACTGGCTCGGGCTGGAGGGGCATGGCGGGATCAAGACCCTGTTGAGGGTGCTGTCTCTGTCTCTTTTCTTTCTCTCATTCTTGAAGAAATAAACTTAAAAAAGTTTTAAAAAGAAAAAGTGGGGCCAGCAGGTGACATGGAGGCTGGGGTGCTGGACTCCCACGTGGCTGACCACAGTTGAAGTCGGGGGCCTGGCAACTTGCTTTCTCACTTTCCCCCTCTCTCTCTCTGTCTCTCTCTGGTGGGCACATGTGCTCTGTAACAGATTTAAAAATAATAATGATAAATAAAATTTTTAAAAATGGGCTGGGCTAGCAAGTGGTGTGGTGGCTAGAGCTTTGGACTCTCACATAACCAATTGCAGTTCAAATCCCAGACCCAGTGGCTTGAAAATCATGCCGGGTAAAATCCCACGAAGAGAATGGAGGACAAAGGACTGTGACATGGGCAGCCCCCCAGGGGGCGATGTCTCACGTTCCTTGTCTCTGTCTCTAGGAAGTCCATGTGCCCTGTTTGGGGGTGGGAGGGGGGAGGCTAGAAAAAAGATGAAGAAATGAAGGTAGGACAAGTTAGCAGCTCTTCGGGGGGGGGGGGGGCGGGTGCTGGGGGGGGGGGGGTGAGTTTCTGTGACCTCACACTTGAAAAAGGGTGTCAGGATAAGCGAGTGCCTTAAAGGTGCTTTACCACCATCCCCGAGAGGGGACTGGAGCAGGGAGAGTGGAGTGGTCATCCCCACTGAGGGGTACTTTCTCCCACTCCCTCTCTGTGTCTCTGTCTCTCTCTTACGAGCACATGCACCCTATAGGGGAAAAAAAATCTTTACAAAAAGAAAAACTCAGGGCCAGCAGGTGGCGTAGTGGTTAAGACTCTGGACTCCCACGTGATAGACTGTGGTTTGAGTCCCGGACCCAGCAGCTTGAAACTCATGCTGGACACGTGTGCATACGTGCCCAAAATCTTGAGGGGAGAATGGAGGAGAAGGGTCTGGCCATCCCCCTATAATTTCTTACTTTCTGCCTCTCTGGCAAGCCCATGCGCCCTATAGCAAAAATCTCTCTCAAAAAGAAAAGCTCTCCGGAACAGTAGGAGGCCAGCGAGGCTGGGAAGACCATCAGCACACTCCCACAGGGCAGATTTTCAAAGTCCACGTAACTGAACCTCACCCTGTCGGGCACCTGTGGCTTGGCTAGACTTCCTAGAGCTGCCACCGTGAGTGAAATGTAGGTGTTGCCGTCATAGCTCAGTGTGGCCACAGTGAAGACGACGGACCCAGAGTTCAGTCGGCTGCCCCAGGTGGCCCCAGGGATGACCACGCCCTGGTGCCAGTGACGCAAAGAACTTGGAATTTTTTTTTTTTTTTTTTTTTTTGAAGTGAGTGAAGACTGTTTTAAATTAATAGTTTTTGTAATATTGAGTCATCAGGAAAAGTCATAATGTAAATTGAGTCATGACTTTTCTGATGACCCAATACATTACTTGAAATTTGAACACATAATAAAATGAAAGACACGTTTGGCTTTTGCACAGATCCCCTGACGTCTGTCTACCCAGGTTAGTGAGAACTTTCGCATTTCTCCATTGGGAGAGAGCAGCGGCCGGATCCCAGGTCAGGCTTGCCATGGTGGAGTGGGCCCTGGGTCACAGGAGCCCTGTACCAGGGCCACGTCTAGGACTTGGGCCTTATCCTGAGCCCCTGAGGCGTGGAGAGGTATGGCATGGCCGGGCCCCTCTTAGGACGCTGCAGTCGCTGCTGCAGTGAGGAATGACCAAAGGAAACGGAGCTGGGTGGGGCGGGGAGCCCTCACTGCTTCAGCAGGCACTGGTGGTGGCCTGGGCTGGCACTGTGGTCTTGGAGGTGAAGGCAAGTAGGTATTCCAAAGCTGGGAGGAGCCAGCCGCCTGAGGAGCCGGGTTCCAGGCCATGTGTGCCACCGTGGGCTGCCTGGGGTGGGTGGCTGGCAGGTCTGGGGACAGAGGCAGGTGTGTGGACAGGTGTGAACTGGAGGGAGAGCAGTGAGCTTGGCCAGGATGTTTGGGCCAAGGTCCCCGAGCAGCACCAAGGACTCACTAGGCACCCTACCCTCTGCTACGGACTAGCCTGCAGTTTGCGTTCCCTGTTCATCCGGGCCTGCGATCTGCATTAAGCCTGCCCACAGCTACTGCTTCTCCACCTACTGTTTGTTTAAGAGGCTCTTGCCTTGAGGCATGTAGGCTCACTGGAGAGAGGGACAGTGAGAGAAAAAAGGACAAACAAACCCCCAGGAAAAATGGCCAGGCCACAATCCCTCCTCCATTCTCCTCTTGGGATTTTGGGCATGCACACACATGCACCCGGCATGATTTTCAAGCCACTAGGTCTGAGACTCAAACCGTGGTGGGCCATGCAGGAGTCCAGTGACAAAACTACTACCTACACCACCTGCGCCCACCCCCCACCGGCTACTGTACCTTCAGGGCCAGGGCTCGCCTTACAGCTTCCTGTCCCCTCAGATACTTTCTTTTGAAAATAAAAATAGCCAACATTTACTTTCTGTGCTGGATCACCCGGTGTCTGAAGCACTTAGGGGTCCGTCCTACCATGTTTTCCACTGGGTCTCAATCATAGTGTCTGTTCCTTTTGTACCTGCTCATCTTTACTTTGTTCATTGTCATCTTTTTTCTTTCTTTCTTTTTATATATTTTAATTTGACCAGAGAAGGATAGAGAGAAACAGAGAGAGAGAGGGAAAGTGAGAAAGTAAGCCGACAGGTCCAGGACTCGAACTGCGGTTGGCCATGTGAGAGTCCAAAACCCTTAACCACACCACCTGCCAGGCCCTATTTTGTTCACTGTCATCTTTTCTTTTTTTTGGAGAGGTTTCTGCTATAGGGCAGGTGCGCTCGCCAAGGATCTTGGGCACGCATGCACACATGCGCCCAGCATGAGTTTAAGCCACCGGGTCCAGGACTCGAACCGCAGTCGACTACATGGGAGTCCAGCGACAGCCAATACACTAACTGCTGGTCCCTTCATTGTCATCTTAAGTCTAGGATAAAGGCTCCTTCCTCTACAAATCTGTTCTGTCCCCCCACCCCCCACCTGGGATCACTATTCTTCCTGTCACCTTAGTGGAAAGTCAAGGCTCTGTGGAGCCCCCTCGGGGGACCTAAACTCAGACTTGAAGCCTCTGTGAGGACCAGAGTCCTGCCCCAGCCTGCCCCTGAGGGGTGGCTGTTCTGCAGCTCAGCTTTCTGGATCGGCCCCCTGGGCCCACCTGAGGTTCTACCTGTGTCCCTCTGGCTCCTGCAAGGCCTCTAAACCCCAGCCCCGTTTGCAGGCATCACCTCCAAGCAGGTACCCACCCAGCCACTCGCTCCACCAGACAACGTGGAGATATTTGTAGGGGACCTCAGGAAGGGCAAAGTCCGTCCCACTGGGAGCCAGGCGTGGACGGCTGCGCTAGCCACCAGCAAGAGTGCGGCCGGCTGTGGAAGGCGGACTCCAGGGAGTGGAGCAGGCCCTGGTGGAACCGCTGCTTTGGGGGCTGGTGCGGACTAGGTGCTGGAAGTGTCTGATTTCACGGTCCTCCCCGTACCCTGGCCCGCAGGGTCACGCATCCCCACAGCTGCCCGTGGTCTCTCACGAGCTCAGTCAACAAGTGCTCAGGCCGCCAGAGTTCAAGATTTTATTTTAAAACAATAGTAAACAATTTCATCGAGTTTTCTTGAATCAAACCACCTCACACTTGGCTTGTCTCAGGCAAAAAAGTAAAAAATAAAAATAATAAGGAAAGGTGAGGGAAACATGGGGACTGCCCTACCTTCCCCAGAAATGAGCCCCTGCCCCTGGCATCTGGAATGGCTTTTGGACACCGTCTTTCACAAATGAGAAAAGCACCAAAATATTGTGCTTCAGCAGCAGATTAGGAGCCGCCACAAAGAAAAAGGAGGGGGAGGAGTCACACGCAGGCCCCGAAGGGCCTGGTTCAGTTCTCGAAACGTCTGCGAGTCTGGGAGCACCTGCCCTCCACGACTCTGTTTCAGAGCAACTTAGAGGTGGGGTCCCTTCAAGAAAAGCCCTCCTCTGAGCCGGGCTGGTGGGGGTCTGCGAGCCCACACTTGGACACAGGCTCGAGGGTGACCCCAAAAGGTTCCCAGCCTGCTGGAGGTGAGGTCAGGAAGGACGAGAACATGCTGCGAGCACGCGGGGAAGGGCAGGGGACCGGGCACCGGCTGCATCAGCCCTCATCCCAGCTCTGGCTCCTTCGCATTTGCTCGAGGGGGGTGACGGCTACTGCAGGGCAGGACGAGAAAGAGCTGTAAACAGCCTGGGCCGCTCACCCACATGTGCACGCTCTTTTGTCAGGAAGGGTCTATTGTCTTAGGGACGGGGACCAGAGAAAGCCCTTATGGTGCAGGTCAATACGGGTAGAACACAAGGGTAGCAGCCGCCAGACGCGTGCTCGCCCTGGGCCCTGCCCCAGACGAGGAGACACTGAACAAGGTTCTGGAATGGCAATGGTGGCAGAAAGGGCACGGGGACGCTCCCCTCATCTGGTCCCCCAAGGCCATCCCACAGGCCCAGGGACAGGCAGTGGGCCCCCTGGGCTCAGAGCAAAGGGCTTAGGGAGCTGACTGGGCCCCTCTGTACACAGGACAGTCACTGCAGAGCAGGCTCCTCCAGCCCCATCTAAAGATCCCACCTGCCTTGGACAAAACTAAAAAATAAATAGTGTGTACTTTCCACGCCACCTGGAATTCCTGGCCCCAAGATCAGTGCAAGCCCTGCTCCTCCACCCCACACCTGGTGCCCACGCCAAGGACACTTTCCACCTGGCTGGGGCTGGCCGCAGCACAGCAAGGGGTCACGGGCTGTGTGGCCTTGGGCGGCAGGCCCTCCAGGGTCCTGATTAAGGGGCTGGCTCAGCCCTTTGGTCCACCTTGTTCATTAAAATTAAAATAAGAAAAAAAAAAGGCTCCACTTGGTGACTTGGGTCTGTAGAGGCCTCTGCTTTGTCCCTCTGTCCATCACTCTGTCCATCCTGCAAGGCATCGTGCAGGCCAGATCTGGAAGCTGGACCCAGCCGCACTCACTAGTCACTGCAGCTTCGACCCCAGCTTGCGTTGTCTGTTCCTGCAGGACATGGAGATGCCTGGCATTCAGTAACCCAATCCATAGCTGTCCCTTCCCCACCCCAGCCTCTAAGAAATGAGCAGATGCCCACCCCCAGTAGCTGCCTGACACGAGCTGGGCCACTCAGAGCTCCTGGGACTGGAACCTAGAGCGGGTCCATGTCTAGTTGGGCCTCGCCACACAGTCTCAGTTCCAGAGTCCACGGGAAGCGAGGAGACTGGGGCAAGGGTGAGCGTCAGGATGGAGCAAGAGAGACCTGCTGGTCAGCTAGTTACGGGGTCCCCTTTACAGATGAGCCAGCACAAGCCGGCTCTGTCATTATTAACCCCAACAGCACGGCAGAAAAGTAGTGAGCTCTCCACCTGGGAGGCCTTATCTGGAGCCTGACCCCACCTCGGCTCTTCTACTGCCTGGAAGGCTGGCCCTCCCCAGCCCCGCAGGCACCCCACCCAGGAGATGGGGTGAGTGGAGTGGAAAAGCATGAACTGAGTGACTCCAAAGCCCAGCTTGGCTCAACTTGCCATGCAACCACAGGCCAGTCCCCAAACTCAAGTGCCTTGCTTTACCCAGCTATGAGGAGTTTGGGCATGTGGTTGGGATGTGGTTTTATCCACATGGGCCCCCGAACAGGGATAACCACTCTCATGTTCGGACTGAGGCCCAGGAAGGAGAATGGGGCTTGTCTAGGGGTCCAGCTAAAACCTAGAAACCTGACTGTGGCCCGCGAGGCTGCGTGACCACGTGGCCCCAGCTGAAGCCCTCGCCCGCTGTGCTCCAGCCACAGGCAATGGGTCTGGTGAACTGGGCAAGCTCCCTCTGCTGGCCCCCAGCCTCCACAGGCCCACTCCTCCTCACCTCTCGTTGGCTTCTGGGAGGCTGGCCCAAGCACCCCGCCCTCCATGGGGCACTGCCGGGCTCTCCAGCCTGAGCTGCTCCACAGCACTGGTCACACAGTTGGGTGTCTGGTCGCGTCTAGCCCTGCCTGCTACGGGTACCAGGGGAGGGGGACCACGGCTGCCTCCTTCTGCGCTCACACCCCACACAGGGCTGGCACAGGACGGGCTGACTGAGGTGCTGGGAAGTCAAGGCAGGTGGCCGCCAGCCAGGCTGGAGGGCGGGGCAGGGCTAGCCCCTGGGAGCCAGGTACAGAGCTGCGGGCAGCTGGGCCTGCCTGCCACTAATGGGATTGCCCTGCCCAAACCTCTCTAATCCCCTTTCCTCACTCCAGGCTCTCCCCTTAAGCTCATTAGGATAATTTGGACCTTGATGCACTAAACACATTTCTAGCTGCTGGGACACCCCACCCCATGCCCCTGCCCCTGACCTCCCTTCCTGAAGAGCCTCCCAGGCTTTGTCTGGGTACCAATCCCACTCAGCTCCTCTGGAACCCGGGAGGGCAGCCCTCCTCATCCCTGCAGGCACCCCACCCAGGAGTTGGGGTAAATGGAGTGAAAAACTATGAGTCAAGTGACTCCAAAGGCCAGCTTGGCCCAACTTGCTGTGCAACTGCAGGCCAGTCCCGACTCAAGTGCCTCGGTTTACCCAGCTATGAAAAAGTGTCTGGACTGAGCGACCTCAGGGCGTCCACACACCTGAGGGCCTCCCCGAGCCACGCTCTGGTTAAGAGCACGGACTCTGGACTGACTGCTTCACAGCCCAGCGCCACACCCCCATCTACAAGACCCTAGGCAAGGGACTGCCCATCTCCTCTCTGGGACTGTGAAAGGGGGGCCACGGGAGGAGTCCACGAGGCAGTGTGAGAGGGGCACAAAGGCAAGTGCCCGGCTCTTGGGAGTCTCCGCACGTAGCAGGGGCCGTCCTGCGGCCGTGCCCGCCTAGTCAGCCGTCACGGCCCCCACTCACCTGGCTTCTGCCCGGGTTACCGTGTACTCAAACCAGAGCACGTTGGGAATGAGGCTTGTGTCTCGGATTAGGAAGAACTCGGAGATAGGCCTGGAAAACACCCAGAAAGCCAGGGCCACATCGAGGCGGGCCTGACACCATGCCAGAGCCCCCATCAGTGCCTGGAGTCAGCCCTGCACATACCCCCCGGCCCCGACTAGAGCGTCTCTGCCTGGCCTGAGACCCGAGACACGGCTGTGTCACCTCCGGCAAGTGCAGTGCTCCACGGGGCCTAGCAGGATGCAGGCGGCTTTCTCAGTGAGAGCCCAGGCAGGGGTAGAGGACAGCCCTGGCTGCTGGGCCTGAGGAACACCCCACCCACGGTCCTGCAGCAAATCCTGGGGGGGCGAGAGCCAGGTAAGTGGGGCCTCAGCCTTACACGCCCAGAGGCCCTCCTCCAGGGCCAGGACATCTGTCCCTCTACTGATGGCCCCATCCATTCACTGAAGGGGACAGGAGCCACGATGCCCGGGCGGCGAGCGGGGCAGAGGCAGTTACCAGGCTGCTATCCTGGGGAACAGCGGGGTGAGGACCTCCTGGGTGAAGACGAACCAGGCGATGGCCATGAGGCTCCCAGCGACGCCCCCATAGAGCACCTGGCTCCAGGTGTGGTACAGCAGGTAGACCCTGAGCCAAGGCGAGGGAAGTCCGTGACAGACGGCCAGAGTCACGCCTGTACGTCCCCCTTGGGTCCACCCTCAAGTCCCAGCTGCCTGGGGACCTGTGTGCGTGCATGTGTGGACACATACAGACTCCCGGGAGCGAGCCTCAGATCTATTTCCAGGGGAGGCAGGGGCTGGACTCCACAGCCACTCCCTGTCTCTAGACGTGAAGGACGGCTGGAATCGCCTCCCTTCATCCTGTCCCTGAACTATGAGAACAAGGGCCCCTCTGCAAGAGGCCCCTCCAGGATGCTGGGACTTGGTGTCTGATACATGCAGATGTCCCTGGAATGCTGGGCTGTCGGAGCACCGTCCCTTTAAAATGAGAGGCCGAGGACCCCTTGGCCAGCCCTGCCCAACAGGCTCTGAGCCCAGGATCCACAGTGCAGCCCAGCAAGGACAAGGATCCAGCCGGCTCCCAAGTGGGCAGGGGTGCGGCAGGGGCTCCCCCTCGCTGCATACCTGCTGTAGGAGACTAGAAAGGCCACGGTGAGGAGCCCCAGGGAGAGCACGTGCCTCCACAGCAAGTCCAAGAACCTGGCGTTGTTCGTTTGGTGCATTCTGGGAAAACAGGTCCATCAGCCCACAGCCTCCCAAATAGTCCCTGGCCCAGATGGCTCCGAGCACCTCCTGCCGGGGCTGTGGTGCCTCCTGCCACACAGGGCGTCCGGAAGGCCACCCCACCTGGGCAGAAGCTCACCTTAAATACAGGAAAAGGAAGGAGTAGACAGAGAAGAACCACATAAACTGGGAATGGCTGGAGGGCATCCCGTACTTGGTGCCCACTGCACTGTGGGGGCCTGGGAAGAGAGGAGTCAGGGCATCACTGGGGGAGGTGGGCCTCGCGGCAACACCTGGCCAGGGAACCCCACTGCTCCCCGCGGGAGCCCTACCTCCACAGGGCCGCGGCTCCTGGATGACGTGTTTGAGCAGCCAGTTGACCCCCTCGTTCAGGCCCAGGCCCCCGAGGAACGAGATCTGCCCAGAAAGATGGTGTCCAATTGTGTCCCTCCCCACTGCCACTGTGCCAAGGACCACGGCCTCCGAGGGACCCTCCCGGCCCGCCCAGCTGGTGAGCACCCTGGGGCCGGCCAGGAGGCAGACACACCTCGAGACGGGCAGAGCAGAGCCCCTGAGGGAAGGGTCGGACAGCTGCCCAGTGGTGGGAGCAGTGGAGGGGGCGGGACAGACGCACCGTGTGCAGCTCCCGCTTGAAAATGATGAGGGTCACAAAACCAACGATGACAAATACAGGGCTGAGGCTCAGGTAGGCAAGGAGGTGGCCGGAGATGTCACCTGGGGAGATAGGATGGAGCACAGGCATCAGAGAGGGACCGACCCCCGTGAGCGAGGCCCAAACGCCAGCAAGTCAGGCAGGGCCTGAGCCAGACAGGAGGTCCCAGCAGGGCCTGGAGAGCAAGGCCAGGCACCCACGGTCCTCAGTTTACCAGGGGCGGTGCCAACTCAGTCCTGGGCAGGAGATAAGAGCGTCGCTGAGCACTGAAGCGTGTGTCGCATGCACAAGGTTATTGTCCCCATCCTGCAGATGATGAAACTGAGCCCTGGAAGCGTGATGTGACCCACTCAAAGTCACATAGCCAAAAAGAGGTGGGACCTGGGCTAAAATCCAAGTCTCCAGCCTCATCCTGACACTATAACCTTCTCCTTGCCAAAGCAGGAATTGGAACCCATTTGGTCTGACTGCAGAGGCAGGGCCCTGCAGCAGCTGAGCCCAGGCCTCCAGGGAAGACTGGCTCCCTCTGGATACACATGGACTCGGGCCCACACTGAGAACTCACAGAGGCCCAGCCCAAGATGGCCGCCCATGGCAGGAACCCCTCCCTGCAGCTTCTCTGGTGGCCAGAAACTGGCTAGCTGTCAGCAATCTGCTCTTCACCTCCACAGACCAGGGATGGAAGCATTGTGAGGACCACCAGCCCCTTTTGAGAGATGGGGACGCTTTCCCCCTTGCTTAAGGATGGGGTGAAGCTGAGTCTATCTGAGACGAGGCAGCAGTGGCTCCTGGGGTGTGATGGCAGGCCCGGCCCCTGGGCCAGCACCTGCAGGCCGCACAAACCCAGGCAAGGCCTTCAGCCCCCTGGGCCTCTGCTCCCTTGCCTCTGGAATGGGGATGCCAGTCCCCAACTCCCACTGCTGGGTGACCCGATGCACTGGGGCGTATGAGACACCCAGCTTGGCCCCTGGCACCTAGGACACTTCCAAGCTAGGGCTCATGCACAGGGTGGGACTTGGTCCACACAACCAGCCAGGCCTCATACAAGCACCAGGGAAGGGGCCCACGGAGGGCCGAGCCTGGAGTCCAAGCCTCAACTGCACCCACCCAGGGCGGGGTCAGACGGAGCTGGCCCAAGAGAATGGGCAACAGCCTAAGGTGCAGCGCTGGTGCTGCCACAGGTCACTGGGTGACACCGGCGTCCCTTCCCTTTTCTGGGTCCATCACCCCAACCAGGGCCTCCGCCCTGAGGTGTCAGGTCTCCCCACTACCCAGATGATGCCCACAGCACTATCCTGGGACAACACAGGTACCCCAAATCTTTGGCCATCTCCATGGCCTGACCCACAGCCGGCACTACCCAGGACTTCCTGCAGATGCTGCCAGGGACTCTGATTCACCATCCTCCCAGGCAAGCCCTCTGTCCCTGGGATCTGTACCCCCCAGCCTTGTTCATTCAGCCCTGCTTCCCTCCCACACACTGCTCCAGTCCCAGGGACCGAACTCGTTCCCTGAATGCACCATGCTGTCCTACTCTGGATCTTTGCAGAGTCCCCCACGTAGGATGCTGTTGGGATTAACTCAGACTTAAAGTAAGGACTCACCACAGTGGCAGAAAGACACCTGTCCCTGCTACCACAGAAGTCTCAGTCTGAGAGGGGACTCTGTGTTCAGGACATCGCATGGTCTACTAGTAAGTGCGGATTCCAGGCCAGTGCCTGTCTTTTGTCTACACTGTAGGTTCATGAGGGTAGAGAAAAGGTTTCTTTATTCCCTTCTCTATACCCTGGACCCAGCTCAGTGCAGGGCGCCATAGACACAGGTACAGAGGACCTTCCTCATTGGATCAGGCCCATCTAGGCTCAGGCAGGACCCCATCACCGCCCGCATCGTGCTGCTTGCAGCTGCCAGGTTCTCGGTGCAGACTATGAGCAGTCCTAGAGGCTACTCTGAAGCCAGGAAGCAGTAGTCATGAGGTGCTGAGGCCTTACCAAGTCTCCCCCGCTTCCCCAGGCTTTGGTTTTCCTCCTACAAAGAGGGGTTCCTCACAGTGCAGGGGTACAAGGACATACCAGGTCTGTTCCTCGTTCTAACCCAGTCTAGCCCACGGCATAGCACTCAGGAAATACTCACTGGGTACTGGCTGAATGGATGGATGGATAGATGATGGACAGGTAAGGGAGCAGAGCCCAGCCACTGGCAGGGCCGCCCCTCCCCAGGGTAACCCAGAGCACCCAGGGTCAAAGTTCTCTGGCATCCGGCCCTGGGGCCCTCAGCGTCCCTGCCAAGAGAACAGCATGAACAGGCCCTTGCTGGGGCACGCACAGCACAGCCCAATGAGAGGGTTCCCAGCCTCACTTAGCACTTAACCATCCCACCCAGAGAGGGTCCTGGGAAGGTGGGATAACATGAAGTGCAGGCTGACTATGTGCAGGGCACTGCATCTAGCACTGCTCATGCCCCGCACACCACCACTAGCAGGGAGGCACTGTGATTAGTCCCACTTTAGAAATGCAGTAACTGAGGCCCAGTGAGGCACTTAGACCAGGCCTGTCTGAACTGGAGCCCAGATACCTCTGACCCAAAGCCCCAAGCTCTGCACCACTCTACCGCCTCCAGAAGGGTTACTAATGAACCTCAAAACTGCAAAACTGCGCTCCTAGAGGTGTGTCTGATAGGAAGCCGGAGCAGTAAAGATTGGGGGTGTGGGGTGTAACTTGCCACCTCACCCAGTCCCCTCTGTCCAGAAGCCGATCCCTGCTCAGGGCGTGGCGCTCAAGTACTCAAAAGCCTGGCATCGGCTTGCACACTCCCTGCCACGGAGAGCTCTTTCTCTTACAGGCAACCCAAAGCCCCGTTTAAAGGAAACAGACACTCCCTGCACGCCAGGGAGGGCGTGCGGCCTCTCTGGCTCCAGGGAGGGTGGAGAAAAAGGGCCAAGGTCCAGGCCAACGATCCTTTCCGGCTTCTCACAGACCACCCCCCTCCCCATTTCGGCCCACCGGTGCCTCGGGACCCTGGGGAGAGCTCCGGTCGCGCAGCCGCAGAGTGCGCGAGCGAGTGGCTCACAATTTCGCCCAGCTCATCCCCATGCCACTGCGCCTGCGCGGCGCGCGCGCCGGCCGAGCCCCTTCATGGCTTACTATTTGACAGTTCCCACCCCAGTCACCCTGCGCCCCTTCTGCGGGCTCGCGCGGGTCGGAACGCCCGGGGCTGAGGGGCTGACCCTGGGAAGGCGTCCTCGGAGCCTGGACCTCCTTTTACCTGCAGGATATTCGACGTGGGTGAGGGTCACCGGCCGCCATGAAGCGGGGAGCGAGCACTGTCCGTCCGCTGCCATCTTACCCGGAGACCGGGCTTCGCTGAGCAACCAATGGGGATCCAGGGGGGCGGTGGCCCTGACCTATCATGCCGGGTAAGCTCCAAGCACCCAATCGGAGACCAATACAGGTAGCGGCGCAGCCATTCAGTGTGCAAGCCTTGGGGCTGGGCCGAGGGGCGAATCAGAGAGCGGGGCTCCTAGGAACCAGGGAGCCAACCTAGCTGCGGACCAATCCAGGGCGAGCGCAGGTAGATGCCTGGCCAGTCAGGGAAGGGGAGGGTTCAAGAACAGAACTGAGAACAGAAGAGCCAATCAGAAGATAAGGCTGGCTCAAAGTATGAGCAGGGCAGGCCAATCGGGCGCTAGCTTGCGGGACGTGTTGAACTTTGGTGGGAGCTTTGGTTCGGCAGGGACCGTCGCCCAGAGTGAAGTCTTCGCTGATACCCGAACCTGCCCACAGACGGCGGCTCCTGCGCGCCGTCATGACTCACGCTCAAAGCGGAGAGGCAACCGCGGCAAGCCCGGCTCCGAACCAACCCACAGTTATGAGTAAACTGTGGCCAGAGACCCAGACTCAGAGGGGATTGGTTTATCCCTGCCCTTTACCGACCGGCGGACAAAGGCAGACCACCGTTTCGTTAAGTGTGTGGAGTGAGAGAGGGGCGGGGATCAGAGTAGGGGCCCTAAACTCTTGACAGAACAGAAACTTAATTGGTGCTGAAAGTGGAAGCTTAACTGATGTTCAGGTCTTCTTTCTAGTATTCATATAACAAAGGTTTATTGATTCAGACACCTCTGTGCTACGTAATGCGGCACCTTGGGAGCATTTCAACAAGTCGGGTTTCCACCTACCCCTCAGTTTCTCCCAAACATTCCTGGTAAACAGCCGCATCTTCCTATCCACCTCTCCCTCTCGCATCCCGCTCTCCCCAGCTGGATTCAATTACAGTCCTTAGGTGCCCAGCTCCCTCTAGTCTCCTAACCTTTGCAAATACTGTTCCGTGGCCTGGAATGCACCGCTCTCCTGCTCAGATTCACCTGGCCAATTCTAGCTCAGAGGTCTGTTCATACTTACTGTTTTTCACAGCCAAAGGAGGGCTTCCACTCAGCTCCTACCATGCCATCCGTCCCCTGTCCCAGCTCAGCTCTGACCACAGAGTCCAGGCTGGACTATAATCATTTTCTTGTTTATCTCTTCCAATGAGCAATGGTTCTCAGACTTCATGGAGCACAAAGTTCAGCCTGTAGAAAATGCAGGTATAGGGTCCAGCAGATGGTGTAATGGTTACGTTGCTGGACTCCCACATAGTCAACCACGGTTCAAGTCCCAGACCCAGTGGTTTAAAATTCATGCCAGGCACATGTGAATGCATGTCCAAAATAGACAATATCTGTCTTTCTCTCTCTCTCTCTCTCTCTCTCTCTCTCTCTCTCTCTGGTGAGTATATATGTCCTATGACAAAAACCTAAAATAAGTAAAGTAAATTAAAACACACCCTATGACAAAAAAACTCTAAAAAAAAAAAGAAAGAAAAGAGAAAAGAAAGAAAACAGAACACTCAGGTATCTAAGTCCCACCTGGGCCTGAGTTGATGCCATAGGTCTGAGTTGGAGCCTTGGTATCTGCATTCTTACGTGCTCCAGGGATTGGGACACAGACATTGCAGCCACACCTGCCGAAGCCCCGGGCAGTGTGAGGACAGGGCCTAGTGCATCCCTGAACCTGGCCCCGACCAGACCTAGAACAAATGCCTAATGAATGACATACATGCTCGTGAGATAAAGTGAGAACAAGCTAGGGAACCCCACTGACCAGAGCGGCTCGCTGTGAGGGCCCACCAGACAGCTGGGGCTGGGGCTGGGGCTGTGGGCTGGGGAGATGGCAGCAACTCAGAAGTTCCCGGTGAGCCAAAGGTCCCCTGCCCAGAGCTCGGCTGTGCTCACTCGCAGCCCTGCCCAACCTGGCTTGTCTGGGTCAGCTGGCCTTGCTTCTCTGTCACCTTCCTCAGGCAATGCCATTATTAGCCTCTGAGAGACAGGAGGTGTGAGGAGTGGACTGGAGCTTCCCAGAATAGTTCCTGGGCCCTGTGGCCATCCAGGGCCATCCTGGATCTGGCTGCATTGTCCCTCCCAAATGGACCAGAGAGGCCGTGTCCCTGCAACCCAGGCCTATCAGACTCCAGAGGCCCTGTTGCCTTGGGGAGAACATTCCCAGGAAATGAAGAGGATGAGGAACTACAAAAATGACAGGCAGATGTCCAAGGTGGGGCTTTCCTGGCAGGAGGAACAGCATTAGCAAGTGTCCTGAGGCAGAAGTATGGCTGGATGAGGGACCAGCAGTTAGTGTAATGGCTGTGTCGCTGGACTCCCATGTAGTCGACGGCGGTTCGCGTCCCGGACCCGGTGGCTTAAACTCACGCCGGGCGCGTGTGCGTGCGTGCCCAAGATCCCGAGAGGAGAATGGAGGAGAAGGGATTGCAGCGTGGCCATCCCCCCAGGGGGGTGATTTCTCACTTTCTCACTGTCTCTCTCTGGCGAGCACACACACCCTATAGCAAAAACCTCTCCAAAAAAAAAAAAAAAAAAAGAAGAAGTATGGCTGGATGAAATGGGAAAGAGGAGAAAAGGGCTGTTTTAGGGAACGGGGAGGCCTGCAGGGACTGGCCACGCAAAGTTTTTTTCTTTATTCATGATAGAGTGTGTGTGCATGCACATGGGAGTGAGAGAAAGGTAAAGACAGAGAAATGGGGTCTAACATGCCTCACCCCTTCCTCTAGTCCTCCAGCCTGTTGGAGCTTGTGTACTTGCACGCATACCCAGGGTGCTTCTGGCTGGGGTTTCGAACCACAGTTGTGGTGGGCTATCCAACTTCTCTTGTCCTGCACCATGGAGCCTTCCTTACCCAAGGCTTTGAGGGCATTGTTGGTGAGGACAGAGCTGTGAAGGTTGATGTTCTGGCTTGGATGACAGCTTGTCCCCCAAAGTTTCATGTTCTGGAATTTGGTGTTGGGAGCTGGTGAGGCCTAATGGGCGGAAATTGGATCACGGTGATTGCATCATGGAGGCCACGCTATCCTGAATTGATTAATGATGACTGTATGACCCAGTGAGTTCTGGTTCCCATGGGGAGGGCCTTGTTCTCGTGAGAGCTGGTTGTGCCTTCTGCCATCCTCTGTGTCCAGCCATATTATGGGATGGCCTGATACAGGCCAGCACCTGCATACTTTCTGGCTATCAGAACTGTGAATTAATCAGCCCCTATTTCTTTATAGAATCACCCAGTCTTAGATATTTCTTTTTTTTTAAGAACTAGTTATTTTAGGGGACTAGCAGGTGGTGTGGTGGTTAAGGCGCTGGACATGCCCACATGGCCGACCATAGTTTGAGTCCTGAACCTGATGGCTTGCTTTCTTGCTTTCTCTTTCTCATTCTTTCTCTGTCTCTCTCTGGTCAAATTAAAATGAATGAATGAGTGAATGAAGTTAGATAATTCTTTTTTAAAAAAAAGAATTAGTTATTTTGGGGCTGGCAGGTGACCTGGTGGTTGAAGGCACTGGATTCCCACATGGTTGACCATGGTTTGAGTCCTAGACCTGGCGGCTTACTTCCTTACTTCCTTACTTTCCCTTTCTCTTTCTCTCTGATCAAATTAAAAATAATAACAACAAATAGAATTAAATAAATAAATGAATGTCTTTTTAAAAGTTACTTAATTTTGGGGGGACCAGCAGGTGGCATGGAGGTTAAGGCGCTGGACACTCCCACATGGCCGACCAGGGTTCGAGTCCTGAATCTGGTGGCTTGCTTTCTCACTTCCTCTTTCTCTCACTCTCACCCTCTGTCTCTCTCTGGTCAAATTAAAAGCTAAGTGAATGAATAAATAAAATTAAATAAATAAGTATTAAAAAATTTATTTAATTTTTTGAGAGATTTTTGCTGTAGGGTGCATGCAATTGCTGGAGATACTCAGAGAGACGGAAAGTGAGAAATCACCCACAAGGAGGGATGGCCACACAGAAATCCCTTTTCCAGTCTCCTCTTGGGATTTTGGGCATGCACGCACACACACCCATCATGAGTTTTAAGCTGCTGGATCCAAGACTCAAACCACTCAAACCAGCCATCTGCTGGTCCCTATTATTATTATTTAATTTGCTATAGGGCATGTGCACTCACCAGAAGGAGAGAGGGAAAGTGAGAAAGCAAGCCACCAGGTCCAGGACTGAAACCACGGTCAGCCACGTGAAAGTCCAGCAACTTAACCACCACACCACCTGCTAGCCCAAGGCCATGCCATGATCCTTTCTCCATTTCTCCTTTCAGATTTTTCTTTTTCAGGATATGTGTGCACATACACCTGGCATGATTTTCGGCCTCCAGGCCCAGGACTCAAACCACACCATCAGCCATGTGAGATTCAACTGCTTTAACCACCACGCCACCAGCCAGCTTTTTGTTGTTTTTAATTTAATTGCCAGTGGTTGCTTGTGCTCACCAGAGACAGAAACAGAGACAGAGAGGGAGAAAGCACTCCTCAATGAGGCATGGGCACGCCACAGTCCCTTGTCTGATTGTCTATCCTGTGAGGATTGGGGCACACATGCACCACATGTGGGTGTGTGTGTGTGTGCCAGAGGGCACACAGACTTGCCAGAGACAGGAAGAGGGGAAGTGAGAAATCCCCCCCCACCCCAGTGAGGAATGGTCATGCCACAATCCCTTCTCCGTCTTTCCCCTCCTTTGGGGATTTCGGGCACACAATCACATGCGCCTGACATGTTTTTCAAGCTGTCGGATTCAAGACTCAAACTGTGCAGTCAGCGATGTGAGATTGAGCTGCCTTAACCACCACACCACCAGCTGGCACCCACACCCTCCCCCCTGCATATTTTTCATGGGGAGCCATGACCATGACAGCTCCCCACAGAAACAGCCAGGCCTTCCTTGCTCTGAGCTTCCTGAGACATCGTTATGCTTTTAGAAAGGAAGCACCCAAAGACCAGTTGGGGCAGGGGGAGGGGAGGTGCCCAAAAGCCAGTTTGAAGGGGCTCCTGCTGTCCAAATTTGTGATTGTACATCCGAAGAATGAATGGGCCCAGCCTAGGTGGTGCAGCCCTAGTAGCAAACTAAATGGCAAGGCTGGAAGCCACATGGCCAGCCACGGGTTCAGATCCCCAGGTTGGCTTGAAACACCCTGGGTGGGCCAGCTGATAGTGAGGTAGTTAAGGTGGCTGGACCCAACATGGTTGCCTGTACAGCTCAAGTCCAGGACCCAGTGGCTTGGAAAGACGTGCCAGATGCTTGTGCACGTATGCCCAATATCCCAAGAGGAGAATGGAAAATGGATTGTGGCATGGCCATCCTCAGGGGGCTGACTTCTCTCTCTGGCAAGTGCACAGATCCTATGACAAAAAAAAAAAAAAAGAAAGAAAAAAAGAAAAAAACGTAGCATCACGTATTGCACATTAACCCCAGGTTAAGAACTTCACCCTTGGTTAATCATGGGGCTGAGAAGGTATGGGGTGACCTCTGCCTACTGTGATCCAAAGAGTAGGTGCCCAGCCAGCTCTAGCCCAAGAAGCCAACAGCCACTATGTCCCACACACCGAAGAGCACAGCGACATGGAAGGAAATCCTTTATTTGACTCGCGGTCACGCACACTCTACCATACAAAAGTTGGAAGCTGCAACAGACCAAGTGCTAGAGGCAGTGCGTGGACATGTAAACGAGGATGAATGGAAATGTCGCTTCTGCGCGATCCGGAGTGAATCAGAGCGGCGGGCCCAGGCCAAGGGGACATTCGGGCAGGGTAAGAGTGGATGCTGGATGGACAAGGGGGCCTCGGGTCCTTCCTGCCTGTTCCCTCCAGGCACTGGCCTTGGGGAGGTGGATCAGGGGCCCTCCAGTCTGGGCTTCAGGCTCAGTGATGACAGGGCACACCCAGCATCACCCCTCCCACCCCAGGACCCCTTTCCCGTTCAGGTGTCAGAGACCCAGGTGCGTGCGAGGAGCCAGCCCTCCAACTCCAAGCACAGAAAACCAGGAGGAAGAATCCATGTCTCTGGCCATCCTTGGCGAGGAGGGTGACTTCCTGCAGGTCTCTCAACCTGGACAGGGGCAGGACCTCAAAATAAAAGTGTTAAGGCAATAAATAAAACTTCCCAGCTCAGGTGGAAACACTGCAAGAACTGAGCTGAGCCTGCAGGGCTGCCAGGAGCCCTGTGCCATGGGGACACGCTGCTGGGACAAATTCTAACGGACTCTGCAAGGCTAGCAGGACGGGTACCCAGGCAGGCTCTGCAGCCCTGCACGGCCCAGAGCATTTGTGCGTTGAGTCAAAGGCAAAGTTTCCTGTTCTACTAAGGAGGGAGTGCTGGTCCAGCCGTGTACATCCTCTGACCACCCCAGTGTGGTCCTTGGGGCCCCTCATCCCTGGGGCTGCTGACGGCAGCACAGGGGATGGCCCAGAGCCCCCAGCTCGGAGCCTAGCACCGCCCTGCAAGTGCAGGCTCACAGAGAGGCAGGTGGGGGTGGGAGTGCCTGGCCTGCCTCCTCCTAGCTTTGGTGGTGGCAGGAGGGAGAAGAAATGATGGTCTTTGGCAGGGACAGAGAGGATGGGGTCCTGGTTTGGTGCTTCGGTTTGTCAAAGGCCTGGTCCCGGCCCAGATGTGGGTACAAGGGCAGGAGGCCCATCTCTGTGCCCGCTCTGGTGGCCCAGGCCTGCCGCCCAAGGTGCCCCCATTCTCCCTCTCCAGAGGTGCACTCTCCGGGATGGTGGCCAGGTCAGGAGCCTACTGGACAGGCCAGCTAGACACCTGGATCCTGAGGCCATGCAGCCATTGGTTGCTTGCAGCTCAGGACACAGCAACCTTCAGCACAAAGCCCAGTGGCCCTCCCTCCACCTTCCTCGGCCCCTGGTCAGCAGCCCTGGGTGGTCAGAGGTTTCAGGGTCCCACACCAGGGCCCCCCGGCTCTGCCTGTGCCAGTTTCCCACACACCTTCCTCTCTCCCTCTAACTACCTGCCTCTCCCTCAGGCCCTGTTGGCCACGGGCCCCCGCCTGTGTGTTCCCCAGGGACCCCGACAGCAGGTCCCGAGGAGCTCCATTCTCCTAGCGTTGGGGACCCCCAGATGGTAGGGCTGGGTCAAGGTCAGAGGCAAGTGCCCTCGGCCACTGTGGCCCCTGGGTGCCAACCCAGAGGGACGAGGCAGCCTCCGTCTCACCCGTGCAACGAGGCCCAGGCAGCCGCCCTCCCGCCCGCCTGTGCCGCCCCTACTGCTCCCCCAGGGGCCCGTTCTCGCGGGGCAGCGCCCCATTCAGGCCGATGCCGCTGGCCGCCGGGGCCCCCAGGTAGCCCAGCAGGATCTCGCTGCGGCGCCGGGACAGCTGCAGGATGTCGTCTGCCAGTGCCGGCACCGACGTGTAGCGCACGTTGTCCAGGTCGAACATGTCCCTCAGGTACTGCACGATCTGGTGCTGGGCACAGGGCTGGCGTTGGGCGGGGCCGAGCCGTGCCCCACCCGACACGCCAAGTCCCTGCCCACACCGCCTCGGGCTCCTCCCTACCTCCGCCCTTCCTCAGGGAGCAGCCCAGGCCCTGACTCCATCCCCGCACCTCTCAGGGCGCCTGTGCCAGCTGGACCAGGCTAGGCCGGGCGAGAACCAACCGCTGCTGCTTCCTGTTTACCTTGAAGAAAGCACAGACTTCCGAGAGCTGGGGCTTGGGTCCGAGGAAGCCGAAGGCTAGGACCGGGCTCACGTGCTCCGATACGGAGTAGAAATGGGAGATGAAGCCGTCGGGCACCTGTGGGGAGGCACAGCTCAGGGACAGGGTGGACATGACAGGCCGCGGTGACACAGAGGCCCGGGGTGACACGGAGGCCCCGGCTCCAAAGACGGCCTCGCTCTTTACATCCTGGCGAGACGGCCCTGGGCAGGCACCTTGCTCTCCTGAGGGCCCATTTTCACCTCTGTGGTGCAGGTGGGGTAGCCCGGGGCTGCCATGGACTACGTAGATGGGCAGATGGGCCGTGGTGGGCGACTCGGGAAGTGCAGCAAGGGGCCGCCTGGGAGTGCAGAGAGCAGTGGCCAAGGGCAGGGGAAGCACTCTGCCTGCTGCCACCGGATGCCCCTGCCACACCAGCTGCCACTGCGGAGCACTGCCCTTCCTCCCTAGGAGGCCCCTTCCCCTCTCCTGACTCCTCCATGGTGATGCCCTGCTCTGTGTTGAGCCCGCGGGGAGGAGGCGGAGCAGCTCTGCACACCGCGTTAGGGGTTCCGGGCCATGGGGGAGATAAAACAGAATGGGCGGCCAGTGCCCTGAGCAACAGAGAGACATCGAGGCCTGCTTAGGAGGCCTCCCTGCACAGCCCGCCCCTCGCTCTCTGGACCTGGGGACGGCTCATGCTGGATAGGTCAGCTAAGCAGGGTGCCAGGCAGGGGCACTCCTGGACAGGGCTGGGACTCCAGCATGGAACTTCGTGGGGCCCTGCCCCGTCACTCACCATCAGCAGCCTCCTCTTGGCTTTCAGGACTGACCAGCAAGCAGTGGCAAGGGCCTAAATCAGAGACAGGCCCCACCCAGGTGTGAGGACAGGCCAGGCTGGCCCTGCCCTTCCCCCAGCAGGACAGGCCTGAGCCAGGCCTGAGCTTTGGGCTGGCCTCCCTAAACCTGGATCAGATGCACCTAAATCTAAATCTGGACCCAGCCCGTACTGCTGTGGGTCCCCGGGCTGGCCACTGACCTTCCTGAGCCTCAGTTTCCTTCTCTGCAGCACAGCCATGACAGAGCATCCCCACCTTGCTTGGCGGTGGTGGGCCACAACAGTGTCACCCTGCGAACCGCCTAGAGTGCCAGTCCACGCAGGGCACAGGTGTCACTGCTTGCTCTGCTGGGGGCCCCGCGCCAGGCTCTCTCCTGCTCTGTTCTCATGTTTGTTTGTTTTTTCCCCCTATTTTAAGATAACAGGGTGCTTTAAACTGGAGTGGAGTGAGCGGAGCTCACTGAAAGCACAGCACAGGAGGAACCCACACGTTGGCCGGGGCAGGCATCTACTCCCCCCAGCAGCCTCTGACTCAGGGGGAGGGGCGGCGCTAGCCAGGAGCTGCCTGCTGGGTGTCCGAGCCAGGGTGGGGGAAGGGGAGCCAGGTGAGCGCATGGGGAGCAGGAACAGCCACCCACCGTCTCCTTGAAGCTGTCTGACAACCAGCGGTTCCGCAGGACAGCGAGCACCGAGGACGGCGGGTTCTCCAGGTCCTCGAAGGCGTCCATGAGGATGAAGTCGAGCACGATGTCGAAGAAGCTCATGCACACCACCTGTGAGGGTGGCCGGGCTGTTGAGCCCCTGCTCAGGGGGAAAGGCCAAGCCGCAGCAGAGAGCCCTCTCAGCCACATGGCACCAAGGCAGAGCCCAGCCCGGGCTTTCCATGCCAGCTCATCTCAGGTGTTGGGGACCCTAGGATGCAGGGGCTTGGCACAAACCCACTCACCCCACGGCCCTCCAGTTCCAGCCGCGTGGTGGCCCAGGTCTCGGGTCGCAGGGCATAGCTCAGCATCTCCTCGTAGCTCTCCAGGAAGCCCTTGGGGCTCTGTGGGGAAAAGCACAGCCTGCTCTAGTCACAGACAGGCAAGACCCACAGGGAGGGCTGGCCTGGGGACAGGGTGGTGCCAAGGCTGGGGTAGGCCTGTCCCCAGGCAGCAGCCACAGACAAGGTTTGTGTCTCCTGGCCACTGCTGTGCACCTCTCCAGCGACAGGGCAGGTCTGGGACAGGTTCGACACCAAGGTGCACAGCAACACCACAGGCCACTCGTTTCCTGGGCACCCACTGTGCCCATGTGCCCTACTGTAGCTTGGCCTGGCTGTGGAGGAAGGATGAGAGTGTGAGGTAGAGAGCCTGGCAGTCCAGTGCTCAGCCCTACGCAACCTTGGCCTCAGGGGTGAAATTGAGCACCACAGCCTCCAACTCCAAAGGCCACTCTGGGGAGCAGGTGAGCTCATCGGGTGGCACGTCCAGCCCAGTGCCTGGCTCTGAGTGTGAACGTAAGAGCACTGCAGCTCCGTGCTGAGACTTCACACCACACGCCCGTGCCCCGCTCCGAGACGCTGGGGCTCACGGCCCTGCAGACCGCATTCATGCATGCGGACAGACAGTAAGGGTGGGGTCTGTTATGAGCATGGATTAACTCCTTTAATTCTTCTACTTATTTAAAATTTGCCAGAGGGCTTGTGAGCTCACCAAAGAGAGGGAGAGGGGTACCCCTCCAATGGCCATGGTCCGGCCACAATCTCTTCTCCAACTCTCCATCCTGCAGGGACTCTGGGCACACTCGCATGTGCACCCCGTGTATTTCCCAAGTTTCTGGGGCCAGGATTTGAATCCTGCAGTCGACCAGCCAGGATCTGGACACCTTAACCACCAGGCCACAGGGCAGGCCCAAACTCATGTAATTCCCATGCCCCCACGAGGAAGGCCCATTATCACGCCCACCTTACAGACAGAAATACTGAGGCCTTGGGCCCAAGAGCTGACACAGAACAGCCCAGACAAGTAATGTCGTTTACACAGAACCACAGGCGGAGGGCACGTTAGACATGTCCAAAGTGTGAACAGGGTCAAACTAGAGAAAACTTTTCTTTTGTGCTTTTTGCTTTTTTGTATTTAGCTTTTTCTTTTTTCTTTTTTAAGAATTACTTTATTTTATTTTATTTATTTATTTACTTATTTTTTAATCTGACCAGAGAGGGATAGAGCGAGAAAGAGAGAGGGAAAGTGAGAAAGTAAGCCGCCAAGTCTGGGACTCGAATCACGGTCGTCCATGTGGGAGTCCAGTGCCTTTAACCATGCCACCGGCCTGCCCTACTAAAAAGTAGTTAGCTTTTTCTACAATGAGCACACATCATCTTTATAATCATTCTTTTACAAATTACTTAAGTTGGACCAGCGGTTAGTGTAATGGTTATGTCGCTTAACTCCCATGTAGTCAACTGTAGTTTAAGTCCTGGACTTGGCAGCTTAAACTCACACTGGGCATGTGTGCATGCGTTCCCAAGCAGCGGAGCTATGCCTCCTGGGGGGTGATCTCTCGTTTTCTATCTCTCTGTCTCTTTGGCGGGCACACGTGCCCTATGGCAAAAATCTATCTTAAAAAGAAACAAACAAGCAAACAAAAACCCTGTTGGATGTGCTGTCTCTCTCAAGCATGGAAGAAGTACATACACTTTTAGAAAAAATTTTAGGGCCAGCCAGTGGTGTGGTGGTTAAGGCAGCTGGATCCCACATGGCCAACCATGCAGTTTGAGTCCCAAACCCGGCAGCTTGAAAAACATGCCAGGCTCATGTATGAGAATGCCCAACACCCTAAGAGGTAAACAGAGGTGAAAGGACGGTAGCGTGACCGTCCCCACTAGGGGGACTTTCTCACTTTCCCTCTCTGGTAAGCACATGTATCCTATAGCAAACTTTTGTTTCAAAGAATTACTCATTTCATGTTTATTTATTACTATTATTTTTAAATTTGCTATACAACACTGTGCTCATCAGAGAGAGACAGAGATAAATAGACAAACAGAAAGTGAGAAAGCAAGCCCCCAGGTCCAAGACTCAAACTGTGGTCGGCCATGTAGGAGTCCAATACCCTAACCACGATGCGAACTGCTGGCCCTGCCCTTCGGCAAATTAAAAAGCCTTTTTTTTTTTTTTTTTTTTAATGTTTTTGCCATAGGGTGCACACAGTCACCAGACAGAGAGATGGAAAGGGGGAAAGTGAGGGATGGCCATGCCACAATCCTTCTCCCCGACTCTCCTCTATGGATTTTGGGAACGTATGCACACGTGCCTGGTGTAACTTCCAGGATGCCAGGTGCAGAACTCGAACCGCGGTTGGCCATGTGGGAGTCCAGTGCTTTAACTACCATGCCACCTGCTGCTCACCCCCCTCCAAAAAGAAGTTTTAGAGAGAATTTGCTAGGATGACCCTAGGCCGTCCCTTAACCTCCCTGAGACTCATTTCCTCATCTGCAAATGATAATAAAGAAGATAAGGACTGGCCTGCCACTTGATGGGTGGCCCAGCACATATGACATCATCTTAGACCATTCCTGGGACGCGCCCACTTACCCAGGAGGACATCAAAGTTTGGAGAGGTTTTGTAACTGGTCCACTGACTATGACAGGCCATGAGGAAGGGGCGATGGCCCCAGTACCCGGGCGCTTGCTATAGGGCTGGTGGCTTCCTAGGGTGCGTCTGGGCCGGCTCCACCACCTGCCTGGGAAGCCCTAGTAGGGCCCATTCAGTTACTGCTCCAGTCCCAGGACCCAGCGCACATGAGATGCTAAACTATTTCTTCCAGTTCTTGATGACAAGAAACTGGCCCAGCCACACTGGCATGAGCAGTAGTTCACAGTCACATGGTGCTGGAGCCATGTGGGAGGACCGGGTTCAGATCCCCAGTCCGCCTGAATATGGCTGGCATCCCTGCATGCACCTGTGGTCCTGGCTAGCTGGGAGGAGGATCAGAGTGTGGCGAGACCCTAACGTGCCCCCCCCACCATGGAATAACTCAGTAATAACAATGCTGACGATAAAACCCAAGCCTACACTGGGACAGACACCAGAGAACGGTGGGGCCCAGCTACTCAGCGCCTGGCGCCCACCTAGGCCTCCTGCCTTTGCTTGCTCACGGCTCTCCAGGGGTGGCCCCCAGTAAGCAGCCTCGAGCCACCTGGCCCACTCCACTCTTCAGCTCAGGGCCTGGGAGCCCCTGTGTGCCTCCCAGCTGGGCTGCCTCATCGATGGAGACTGTGCTGAGGCTCAGATGAGCTGCAGAGTGCAAGTGCCTCAAGGAAGGTGCTGAGCTCACAGCCTGACACACGGCGGCTCTGGGGGGCAATGGCCCAGCGACCATTCCGGGAGCACCTGCCCTGGCCAGGCCACGGTGAGAGCATCGCCTTTGCCAGGGGCTCTGGTCCTGGCCTGGCCCTTGAAGGGCTCACTGAGGAATGGAGAGAAAGCCAGGGCAACCCACGAGCAGGCTACCGAGGGGGAATGCCGCCCTGGGCCCCGAGGACAGGTCAGGTGGAGACCTGGGGGAGAGATGGTCGGCAGGGACTCGGACAATGTGGGTCAGACGAGTGAGCAAGGACGCGGCGGAGGGTAGGACGGAGGCCACTTCCTAACACAGGTGCTGCGTGCAAGCGCTTGTCTTTTTGCTTGTTAAATCCCAGAGATGCTTTTTCACACTCTTCCACGTTTCACGATAAAGTTGTTTAAAGAAATTGAGGAACAGTGACCTGGGTGCAAAGGGACCATCTGGTTGTGCTGGAAGCCCAGGCCCTTGGATCTGGACAGAGCACAGGGTGCAAAGCAACAGGCCACAGGGCAGAGCTCGCCTTCACAGCCAGGGCGGCGGGGGCAGGAGGGCTCCAAGCAGACGGAGGTCAGAGGTACGTTTAGAACCATTACTCCAGCACGCAACAGAAAGGACTCAGCGGAGAGGCCTCTTTTCTCTTTTCTCAAACCCATTCAAGGAAAAGCACACAAGCGCCAAGCAGAGGCACAGCAATAATGCAAGTGGACCCACATGGAAAAGATCCTGGGTTCACGTCCTGGGACCTCCCAGAACACACCAGGCACACACACGTGCCCAGATCCAGGCTGGCTGGGGCAGACTGCGGTGTGAGGACCCTGCTGTGTGTGAGTGCCTGTCTCTCCTCCCCTGTCCCTCTTTTCTTCTCTCATACAGAAATAAATGAATAAATGTAAAACAAAACAAAACCTCTCTCTCAGAAAAACACACAAGTAGTAACTCAATATGAAAAACAATGCTGCCTCATCAACGAACCACAAAGCAATGGAAAGAGCAGCAGAAATTAAAGAGCTTCCCGGAACGGCCCCTGGGGCAGTGGCTAAGTGCTATGCAGGGAGGGCAGGATCCCACAGGGCTGACTGCAGCCTGAGAATCAGCTCCCATGGCTTGAAAACCATGCCAGGTGTGTGTGTGTGTCAAGACCCTGACAGTACGGGGGGAGGAGAAAAGAGCAGCGTGACCAGGCCCTGTTGGGGGTGCTTTCTCTCTCCCCGTCTCTCTGGTGCATGCATGTGCCCCCGACATTAAAAAAAAAAAAAAAATTACTGGGACCAGCAGTTAGCATAATGGCTATGTCACTGGACTCCCATGTAGTCAACCACAGTTCGAGTCCCAGACCCGGTGGCTTAAACTCATGCGGGGAGCATGTGCGTATGTGTCCAAGATCCTGAGAACGGAGAAGGGATTGCAGCACGGCCATCCCGCCAGGAAGTGATTTCTGACTTTCTGTTAGTCTGTCTCTCTCTGTCTTTCTGGTGAGCACATGTGCCCTATAGCAAAAACCTCTCTGGAAAAAAAAAAAGATTACTAATACCTGGTATTAGCTAAGACCCAAGGAAAGACACTCAGCCTGCTGGCAGGGACAGAAGTGAGAGCCTTTCGGAAGGCAAACGGACAAGACCCACTGGTCTCCACAATGTCTACACCGAGACCAGGCATGGCACCATCTGGGGCTCTGCCCACGGCACTCGCGAGGACCCACAGGGGCAGTACAGGATGGTTAGGAGAGTGCCATCTGTGTCCTCCCTCCGGGGAACTCGAGGAGTCACGGCACAGCAGCGGAGCACTGCGCAGGCAGCAGGAAGAGCCCCATGGGCTGACGTGGCAGACGGACGAGATCGAGACGCAAGGTCACACCACAGGGCAAAGCTGCAGGACGGCCGGCAGAGCAGAGGCCTGGGAGCCACAACGGTATCAAGGGTGGGGATGCCCACGTGGCCGAGGAAGCCCTGGCAGGCTGTGGGCACCGTCACCTCTGGCAGGTGGGGTTCAGGTCCGATTTTATAACGGTGAGTTTTGTGAACTGCTATGTCGCAGTCACAGGTGGAGAGTGGCACGGTCTTAGTTTTCAAAATGAGTGCAGGGACAAAACCAGCCCTTTCCCGCACCTGAGAGCCCACAGGACGAAGCCTAAGCAACTCTGCATGTTTTAGACAAAACACAGAATTGATGGCTATGCCACTGGACTGCCGTGGTTGACTACAAGGGGGAGATCTGGAATAAACCCCCCATGGCTACCTTCTCGGCCTTGGTCATCAGGCCCGTCACCATCTGCCGGCCAACTTCGCCAAAGAACAGCTGGTTACTCTTGTCTTCCAGAAGCCCCTGAGGAGGGGGGAGGGAAGTGAGCCCCAGGAGTGCAGGCCCCACTGTGCCCATGGACGGGGCAGTGCAGCGGGCAGAGGCAGGAAGCCA